TTTTTCCTGCAGAAATTTCAGTTTAATTATCAGTATATTTTGTAATTCTGAACTAAAATAACAAAATGGCTGACAAACGTAAATCTAAATGCTTCCTTGCTAGCTCTTTAATCCAAGCACTCAAAGCCTCAGTCTGCTCCATCATCCTTGGGTTTAACCTTGCATTTCTGCTTCTATCATAGTTCACAACTGCCAGTAGTTAAAAAAACATGGTACTGTATTACACAAGCAGCTGCATCCAACTCTAAACATGCAAACATAATTCCCGATTATGACTGATAGTACAACACAAATTAATTACATTACATTTGTAATATGAAAACTCATGGTATAGGAAAAATACCTGTATAAGCTACTATATTAAAGTAACTCTATTAAAGTTACTAGTAATTACCCAGAAGAATAAGAAGCTCCTACTTAAAAGTCAGAAAAGGAACCTAAGGCTTACTGCAGAGAACTCAGAAAATGTCAGCTCAATGTATTGCTACAACCAAAGAGGACAAGAAAGTACAAAGGCATCATCAAGATGGAAACAGGCAATACCAGACTCAAGAAAGATAAAATTACTAAAGTTTTCCCAAGAAAAGAAAAAGCAATAGGAGAGCAGGGGGGTTGGTCTCCCCAAGGCCTTCACCATTAAACCAATGGAAAAGGTAGCTGGAAAAAAAGTTACTTACAGGATCCAAACCTTCTTTCTCTAGTTTGGCTTTCTCCAAGTAGTAACTTCTCTCGGCCACGCTGAGAAGCCTCCAACTCTCACTAATCTTCTTATTGATCTCAGACTGAGGAAGGTGGGGGAGCTCCTGCTGCACTTTCAGGTAGATGTCGTAATAGTACAGAAGATAAGCAGATCTGAGGAAGCAAGGACTTCTTCAGGCTTTCACTTATACAACCAGGTAAGTACTACAATGTTAGCATTTGGATAGTCAAGAGGCTGATACAAAACCCAGCTTCTCATTTCAAAGCATTTAGCTAAATAGGGACTGAAATTCAAACAAAGAAATTGAGATAATATCCCCAGAGGATATTTTGGAGGACAAAATGGATGGTAAAGACAGCAAGTGGCTTGCTGTTTTTCCTTCAGAAACCTGGAAGCAAAGGCTCATCTTCTGGTTTACTTTCCCACAGACCCTTTTTCTGCAGGAATAATTGGCTTTTAAACCCAATATATGTAAAGAAAGATACAAGTGTCCTCTCACTCCACTCTCAAGGAAAGCTTAATACTCAGGGGGCTGATTACTCCAAATGGTTATCATTCACACTCTATTCATCTACCCAGCCTTTGGTCATCAAACTGGTCAACAGCAACTCCCCAAGGCTGAAAGAGGAAAGCAAGCAGAATTATCAAAATGACCCAATGCTGGTAGCTTCGGCAAGAAGTTTAGAGTGATCAGTCAAGAGGAAAATTAAAGCTACAATGTGGACATTCTGTATAGGTATCACTGGTGCTATTTTCTAATTCTGTAATTAATGCCTTGCTTTAAATATTTAAATAACAATGGTATAATAAAAAATAAAGTAGCTCTTTTATACACATAGCTTTTGCCATCTCTGTATGGTGTGATTTCCTATGACAACCTGGAAACAAAGTCTGTCCAGGAATGGCAAATGCTGGCATAAATCTGGCCACTTCTTGCTCCCCATTTCTCTCTTCCCCCACCTCACTCTGAGACTTCAACAATTATACTCTTTCCCCAAGAATCTTAAAGTCCTGTGTGAAGACCTCAACAGTTTTCCAAGCAGCTTCTTTCTGTTTATAAATGCCAGCAGCAACCGAAATGTGTTGTCTAACCTGGGTTTCTTGGCCTTTTCTCCATGTATTTTATACTTTTTCTTCTTCTTGGGTGGCCCAGGGGAAGTATAACAGTAGGCTTCCTCAATTTCCTCCATCACGACAGTTACCTCAGTACCATCATATGATGCATCCATGGCTAGAGGAGAGGAAAGTCAAACACAAAGTTTTAAGAATCTACCCTAAAAGGGGCAGCTTCCTGGATCCCTTACCTCTGCCAGGGCCTTAAAGCTTAGCCATTTCCCAAACTCAACAGATTCTAAGAAGCACCTGGGGTACTAGTCAGACGTTCTGGCCCCTCCCTCATATATTTTATCACCTTAAGCAAATAGTTTCACTGATATATTCAAACATGTAATAAGTGCCTATAATAAGAGATATCTTTACACTCTGCTGGCCTGTGCAATTTTGGGAAGGTCCTTTGGCTACTTTAAGTTCAGTTCTCTCTCTTATATATTAAAAAAGAGACATCTCACCCACCCTCCCATAGATTTATAATGGCAAGACTCAAAGGACACAACACACACACACACACACACACACACACACACAGAGCTCTATTTAAGAACAGTCAAGCACTATACAAATAAAAGGGTTCATTTTATATTAAAGATGATTATCTGTGCCTGAGATGCTTAATAACCTGCCCAAGACCAGCAGGCCCAAATAGGGACTTGGGAGATAGGTTTTTAATTCAAAAATTCAACTCTGTTCTCACCAAGATTTATTGTTAAGAAAAAAAAAAAAATAAAAAAAATAAAAAAAATTCAACTCTGGGCTGAGTGAGGTGGCTTCATGCCTATAATCCTAACACTTTAAGGTGGGAGGATCGCTTGAGGCCAGGAGTTCAAGACCAGCCTGAGAAAGATCAAGAGCCCATCTCCACAAGAAAACAGAAAAATTAACCAGGCATGGTGGTATTCACCTATAGTACCAGCTACTCAGGAGGCTGAGGCAGAAGGACTGCTTGAGCCAGGAGTTTGAGGTTGCAGTGAGCCATGATAACGCCACTGCACTCTAGCCTGGAAAAAAGAACAAGACCCTGTCTCAAAAAAACAAATAAAAAAACAACTCTGGGCCTTCTTTCATTATGCCATACTGTAACCCATCTCTACTGGGAATAATATGAACCAGCACTATTTAGTAAACTCTGTGATGACAGAAATGTTCTACATCTGTGATGTCCAATATAGTAGCACAAGCCACATATGGCTTGAAATACAGCTAGTGTGACTGAAGAACTAAGTTAGTTTTAATTGTAATTAACTTAAATAGTCAGAAATACGGCTAGTGTGAAGAACTGAGTTAGTTTTAATTGTAATTAACTTAAATAGTCACATATGGCTAATGGCTATGGACAAAACAGGTGTAAACAGTAACCAGACAGACTGATATTAGCTCTCACGTGCTGGCCTATAAAAGAGAGTTTACTAACAACTTTTACATCTATAAAAGGTATTAAAAAGCTTAATGACTAATTCAAGAAGGGCTAGTTTATTTGTATCCAAGTTCTAAGTTGGAGTTCTACCACAAGACTCAATCATTGGGCGAGTGTGGTGTCTCAAGCCTGTAATCCTAGCACTCTGGGAGGCCATGGTAGGAGGACTGCTTGAGGTCAGGAGTTCGAGACCAGCCTGAGCAAGACCCCATCTCTACTAAAAAACAGAAAAATTAGCTGGACATGGTGGTGCATGCCTATAGTCCCAGCTACTGGGGGGAGGCTGAAACAGAAGGATTGCATGAGCAATGACGACGCCTCTGCACTCTACCTGGGGCAAGAGAGTGAGACGGTCTCAAAAATATAAGACTCAATCCTTGGAGAAAGAAAGGTTCCCAGAAACCACCTGAATTTTATGATAAAGAAATAACATAGTTGCTCCTGAAAATCTGTCAGAGGGAATTTAGGATTCCAGGAAGAAAGAGTATAGTAGTTAAACACAGGAATGATATGTGTAGTACAAAGCCCACTCACATCTCATTTAGACCTTACTTCACAAGTAATAAGACGTGGATCCACGTCTAAATTCTAAACATGATCTCAGACAAGTCTATTCCATACCCCAAATTTCAGTTGTTTCTACTGTGAGATGAAGAGGATAAACTTAGTGGCTCCTAACCTTGTGTGAGGCAAGAACTCTTTTGATGATATTGTGAAAGCTTAGAACTTTCCCTTAGAAAATGAAACACACAGTATTTCACCTATAATTTTAAAGATATACTCCAGGTTAAGCACACAGTATTCCTAAGGTTCTTTCTCATTCTGTGTCATCTCCAAATGATTCCTCTTTCCATTAAAAAAGAAAAGAAAAAACACCTACATTCTAACTGTCATAGTGCAACCCAGGAAAAGAAAGGTCTGCAGCTTGCCTGGGTAAGCAATAGGCTCGTAAAGGATAAGGGAAGCTGGAGTCCAAATGAAGGTTATGTGGGGACTGTGCTCTTTTGCCCTTAATTGACTTCTCAGCCCTTAAGAGCCTTGTGGAGAAAAATAGTAACTGCAGGAGAGGACCTATAAAGAATGGTAGATAGGGTTTTAGGACCCAGAGCAAAGCAAGTTAGGAAGCAAAGTCATTAAAACTACCTTGGGTTAGGGGCAGGAAAAGACTACCCTGGGACTTTTTTTTTAACTACCCTGTGCTAAGCCTGGGTCCAAGTTTGTTTTCAGATCCTAGACCTCAGTACAGCAATGCAAAGAAAGGCCAACATAAAGGTTAAAACCAAGGGCTCTTTCAAGCCAACTATGGCTTGTTAGAAAGAAAGAAAAAGAAAACCAAGGGCTCTGAAGGGCAGAAGATCTGGGTTCTAGTTTAGGCTACAATGCTTAATAGCACCAGCACGGAGCTCTATGACCTTAAGCAATCTACCTACCTCTCTACATTTCAGTTCTCTTATACGTAAAACAGAGTTAAGGGTAGTATTTGAAATATGAAAGACACTTCGGACAATCAGGTCCTTCTCAGAACCTCATGAGATGGCCTCTGACGGCTCAGCCGTGGGCTACGGTTTTGACTCTGGCTAGTTCCTCTGTCTGGGTCTCGAATATCCTATACCGAGAGGGAAAGGAGAACACCAAGGCTCACTGGTCCTACTTTGTGAAAGAGGCAACAGAGACTCAGAGAGCCGCAGCACCCAGCTTGAGGTCGCCCAGCGGGCCGGCGGTGCGGCGTGACCCTCGAGGGCGGGACTTACCCAGAGGAGCGTACAAGCCGCACGGCTCACATTCCCGGAGGCGCCCGGCCCTGGGGCTCGACGAGGGAGCTGGCGGGTGCACTTGCGCTCCCCGCTGTCGGCGAGAAGCGGCTCCAATCGTGACAGCGGCAACGAGGAAGTGGAGGCGAGGGCTCGCGCGCGCATCCCGGGGGCTGGAGGAGCCCCGGCCCCGCGGCCCCGCCCGGAGACACACGGCGCGGAGTCGCGACAGCCCCTCTCGCTCCCCCTTCTTGGAGTCGCGATATGGGGTCGTGAAGGGCAAGTGGAAGAGCACAGGTTCGTTCCGCAGGCTCCTCACAGACGCCTGCCGAGGGCCCCGGGGGTCAAGCCCCGGGGAACTCGAGGAAGACAGCAAGAAGACCGGCGTCCCCACAGCACCGGCTCCGAGGCGGTAGCAGCACACCACAGATCGCCAGGGAGACCCGTCCCAGCAGCCCTCGCGGCGCACCGGAAGCGGCCAGCGGCGCGTGACTGCGTGCGACCCCTCGCGCAAGCGCAAAGGCCCAGCCCCAGCTGGAGGGCGGCCCATAGGAACTGCGTGAAGGCTTGGATTGGGGCCGCTAAAGCGAACGGACTGTTTCCGGTGAAAGGTCCCGGGCGGAGGAAGAAGCTGTGGCTGGGGGCGGTGGGACGCCCCGGCCGCTTCAGGCCCCGGGCACTGCTGTGTGGCGTTCAGGTAACAGGGGCGGGGCTGTGCGTGAGGGGACAAGGCCCCGCCTCACCTCTCAGAGCCACGTCGGGCGCTGGGGAGCGTACAGCACCACCGTTTCCGCAGCTCGGCATTCAAGGCCTGACCCCAGTCGTCAGTGTGTCCCCGCTCATTCAGGATAAGGCTCATACTTAGTACTATTAATACATCAAGCCCCCCTCCTCACTCCAGTGGTCTGCCCTCAATCCCTCTCTACCACTGTCCCACGGATAGTAATGGTAGTGAGTTCCTGGAGTGACTCAGGCTGAGCTGAATGACTGTGGAGAAGCTCCAGAAATCAGATACTGGATTGTCCTTCCCGTCAGTGTCACTGATTGTCCACATTTGTACAAGTTCCTATATGACCTTTCACTATGTTGCAAATATATTTCCAATCTACCTACATCTCTCCATCTCTCACTGTCACCAACTTCCACCTAGCCTCCATCTTTTGTCTGGGCTGATGCAGTTCTGCCCACTCCACTCTTGTCCTTCAACAGTCTAGTCTCCACAAAGCAGCCAGATTGATCTTTTTGCACTGTAAGTCTGATAGGTCACTTCCTGCTTAAAACCCTCCAGTGTTTCATTCACTTAGAATAAAATTCGAACTTATTAGCTTGACTAAGACTGTGTAGTTTGGCTCTTGCTTCATTCTCTTTCCATGTGTTTTCAATATGGGTTCTCAGAACAAGCTATATAGCATTCCCTAATGTTTGGAGCACTGGCTTTGTTGTGAGCCTCCGTGGGTTTGAATCCCAACCCTGCCACAAATGAGTTGTATTAAGCCTGTAAGGTGCTTAACAAATCATGCTTTTGCAGTAGATCCTTCCATCTCAGTAAATGGCACCACCATCCACTGGATTGCTCCGCACTCAAACTAGAAATCTGGGTGTTAGCCTTGATTCTTCAGCTCAGCTCACATCCCATCCATCACCAAGGCTCTCCAAAACATAGCCCCAAACTAACTACTTCTTGCCATCTCCTCTATTACTACTCAAATCCAAGCCACCATTATCTCTTGGCTGGACTCCCACTTTTTCTGTAATACTTTTCAGTTCTTTACCGAGCAGTCATCTCTTTTTCTTTACTTAAAATCCTGCAGTAGCTTCCTGTTGCACCCAAATAACTTCCAAACTACATATGGCCTACTAGGCTAGCCTGCTTTTGTTTTCAGATACAATGCTACCGCTTAGGAAAATGGACTTTTCCCATTAGGTTCTCCACCGTGCAACCAAAGGACTCTTTCTAAAGATCATGTAATAACAAAAAAACAAAAAACTTCCAAAGGCTTCTTAACGCCCCAGGATCAACCTAGAATCCTAAGGCAGAGTTTCTGTTATTTGGTCCTTGCTTTCTTCTCCAATGACTTACTTTTTCCTGACCATGACATTTTATTTTCTATAGTACTTCATTACGTTTGATAGTCCATATTTCCTTACATCTCATGAATTCCGATCTGTTTATTCTTTGATAGGAGTAACCCCATTTGATTAGCCACACTTCTGTGTCCCCTTATTACTCTGTAACCTCTGTTACAGTATTTCACACACCCGTTTGTCTTCCATGCTTCCCTGGTAAGTTCCTCAGTGGTGGGCACTATGTTGCATTCATCTTTGTATGGCTGGCATCAAGCACAGTGCTTGAAATATAGAGGATGCCATAAATGAATAGATAGATGTGTGGAGGTAGTGGTAAAAATCTGCCCTTGAAAATGGACAGCATAAGTTCACAGCAGCTGTCTTGTCCTTTGAGGACTCTCATGATAAAATGCCCAAGAAGGCAATTACCAAAACTGCTACTGCTGAATCATGCTTTGTTTGACTAGCCTTGGGAGCAGGTGGGTTGTTTGTTTATTTAAAATTCTTAGTACCTCTAGACAGGACATACAGACCGCAGCACTCTCCAAATACTTTTTCCCTGTTTAACTCACCTGTGCCACCATCCTGGCACCTAACAGCATTTGAGTTTGGAACACCTATGTAGGGTCCAGTATTTTCATCTGGAAGGGACCTTAGGAATCATGGTTTATAACCATGGACATACCAGAATCACTCTGAGAGCTTTTCAAAAATATGTTTTCCTTATAGTGTGTCTCATTTAGTAGGTCCTAAGTTGGGACTGCATGTCAGATTCTGATGTGCCCTCCCTGGTTGAGTCTAACCCCTTCATTTTAAAATGAGAAAATAGACCCAGAGAGGGACTATACCTTCCCATCACTCCTGCCATCATGTCTCACCTAAATTATCAGCAACAGTATCCTAATATTGGTTTCTTTGCCTCTTTGATTTATTTTCCACCAAATAGCTATAGTGATCCTTTTAAAAATGCAAAACAGAGCATGGCCCTCCCTTGCCAGAAAACCTTCAGTGGGTTTCTGTTACACTCAAAATAAAACACCAACACTTTTCTGTAGCATCTTTGGATGGTCTAGCTCTCCACCTTTGTCATTAACACTTGGAGTCATGCAGATTTCAGTTCCCTAAATACTTCAAGCTCTTTTCTGCATTTCAGATTCTGCTGATACAATGTCCTTTGCTGGACTGCACTTTCCCCCTATTCTTCATGGAATCTCAGCTTAAATGCTATATTCTTAAGCCATTCCTGACTAAGTTTTGTAAATAGATCTTCCCCTTTTATTCTCTATTATAGTCTTTGTTTTATTTCTTTTATAGCACATAGCATACTCCATAATTATCTATGTGTTTACTTATTATCTCCCCTACCACACTTTATATTTCATATGAGTAGGGACCTTGACTTTGTGGTCCATTACTGTATCCTTACCACTTGGTCACTGCAAATGAATGTATGGCTACCAGAAACATCTTCCCACAATGAAAATCTTTCCAAGCCAGATGGTGGTAGAGCTTTGAAGATCTCATTTTGGTGGAATTTCAAGCAGGACCATGAACTGGCAGAAAAAGCACTAATCTAAGTCAAGAAATCTAGGCTGTATGAACCTGGGTTGGCCGCTTCCCTGGGCTTCAGTTTCTGTATCCATAAAACAAGCTAGATAATAACTCCTTGAATTTATATAGTGCATTGCTATTTGCAAAGCTCCTTTACCACCTTTTATTTCAATCTATTCCCATGGTAGGCAGAACATACATTGTTATTCCCATTTTTAAGGAGGCTCAGGAAGTTTAAGTGAACTAGATTATCTATATGATCCCTTCTTACAGATACGGAAGGCTTCAAATATTCTGAGTCTTCATAAGTAGTCTCTACAAAAAGTCAGTAGCATGAATCCTGTCTTCTTTTGACTTTGACCTTATATTATCATTTCCTAACAGGATTTTTAAACATCTGAACCCATCTTTTAGGGGGAATCTATTATGTTTGGTTCCTGATAGATATTCCATTTTGTCTTCTCAGTTTTCCACACTTGTGGCAAAACAAGCTGAGAAGAGGAACGAAGACAGCCCTGTTAGTTGTGGCCCAGAACCTCATTCCCCCGAAATGGCAAACAAGGGCAACAAGAAACGTCGGCAATTCTCCTTGGAGGAGAAAATGAAAGTTGTGGAAGCTGTAGACTCAGGCAAGAAGAAAGGTGATGTGGCAAAAGAGTTTGGTATCACTCCTTCCACTTTGTCTACATTCTTAAAGGATCGTGCCAAATTTGAAGAAAAGGTTCGGGAGGCATCTGTGGGACCCCAGCGGAAAAGGATGAGGAATGCTCTCTATGATGACATTGATAAGGCTGTTTTTGCTTGGTTTCAAGAAATCCACGCCAAAAACATCCTCGTGACTGGTTCTGTCATTCGGAAGAAAGCACTAAACTTGGCCAATATGCTTGGCTATGACAATTTTCAAGCAAGTGTGGGCTGGTTGAACAGATTTAGAGATCGCCACGGAATTGCTTTGAAAGCAGTCTGTAGAGAGGATAGTGACAGGTTAATGAATGGTCTAGGAATAGATAAGGTTAATGAGTGGCATGCAGGGGAAATTATAAAACTGATTGCTGACTACAGCCCAGATGATATCTTTAATGCTGATGAGACAGGAGTGTTTTTCCAACTGCTTCCCCAGCACACACTTGCTGCTAAAGGGGACCATTGTAGAGGGGGCAAGAAAGCAAAGCAGCGGCTGACAGCACTCTTTTGTTGCAATGCTTCAGGGACTGAAAAAATGAGACCATTGATTGTTGGTAGGTCAGCCAGCCCACGCTGTCTCAAGAACGTCCATTCCCTCCCTTGTGATTACCGAGCCAACCAGTGGGCATGGATGACGAGGGATCTGTTTAATGAGTGGCTGATGCAGGTGGATGCCAGGATGAAGCAGGCAGAACGCCGGATCCTCCTGCTCATTGACAACTGCTCTGCTCACAGCATGCTTCCCCGCTTGGAAAGGATTCAGGTGGGATATCTGCCCTCAAACTGTACTGCTGTCCTGCAGCCACTGAATCTTGGGATAATTCACACCATAAAAGTGCTATACAGGAGTCACCTTCTAAAACAAATCCTCCTCAAGATCAACAGTAGTGAGGATCAGGAAAAGGTAGACATCAAGCAGGCCATCGACATGATTGCTGCAGCTTGGTGGTCAGTCAAGCAGTCCACGGTGGTGAGATGTTGGCAGAAGGCAGGCATCGTCCCTATGGAATTTACAGACTCTGAGGAAGATACAGCAGCCAGTGAACCAGATGTTGCCATTGAAAAGTTGTGGCACACAGTGGCTATTGCCACCTGTGTCCCAAATGAAGTAAATTTCCAGGACTTTGTCACTGCAGATGATGATCTCATCATCTCCCAGGAGCTGACAGAGACAGAGATCATCCAGGATGTGGTGGCTAGTGAAAATACTGGCGAAGCTGGAAGTGAAGATGAAGGGGAGGTATCTTTACCAGAGCAGTCAAAAATCACCATCACAGAGGCCATCTCAAGTGTACAGAAACTTAGACAGTTCCTTTCCACTTGTGTAGGTGTTCCTGATGCCATTTTTGGACAGCTAAATGGCATAGATGAATATTTAATGAAAAGAGTGACACAAACTCTTGTTGATTCCAAAATTACAGATTTCCTCCAAACAAAATAATGCAGGAATTAACTGCCATTTTTACTTTAGAAAATGTAGTTTATAAGAATAAAGATTACTTTAGATAGGATACTGAATTAATTTAAGTAAAGCAATATTATTATGACAACATTCAAGTACTCTGAAATAACTAGGAAATTTCTTTGAATGGAATTTGACTAATATCTATGTTCTCTCACTCTCTTTTTTAAGAGACAGGGATCTCTTGCTGTGTGGCCCAGACCCTTCTCAAACTTTGCCTGAGGCAATCCTGCTTCAGCTTCTGGAGTACCTAAGATTATAGGCACACACCACTGCGCCCAGCTACTATGTTCTCTTTTGATTAATCCAATGGTTTTCAAAGTTGTCTGTGCATTAGAATCACTTGTGAAAAATTCCAAAGCCCAGGCCATATCCCACACCAATTAAATGACAATCTCTGGTGATGGGTCATTAGTTTTGAAGCTCCCCAGGTGATTCCATGTGCAGACAAGCTTGGAAACTATTGGATCAATCACAGGAAAATCAAGTACACTGTGGGCCTGGATCCAGCTTCTTCCCAGTAAGTCTAGTTAAGTGGTTTCCAAACTTTAGCTCACATCAGAATCTTGGAAAGCTTGTTAAAACCTCACTCCCACCCCCTGAGTTGCTGATTCAATAGGTCTCAGGTGGAATCCAAGGATTTGCATTTCTAACATGTTCCCAGCTGAGGGCTGATACAGATGCAGTCTAGGGTCCATACTTTGAAAACCACTGGTGTAGCTGAATTCTAGTACGTTTTTCTTCAGCTAGCCTTCGAAATACTCCTCATCACTAATTGTTAAAAAAAGGGGTGGTGGTGGCGATGATCATCTTTTCTGTTGATTGCCTGAAGCACAAGATTTTTATTTTTATTTTTTTAGAGATAGGGTCTTGCTATGTCATCCAGGTTGGAGTACAGTGGCTATTCACAGGTAGGATCAGAGCTCACGGCAGCCTCAAACTCGTGGCCTCTAAGGATCCTCCTGCCTCAGCTTGTACTACCTTGCTCAGCCTTATAAGATGTTTTGTTTTGTTTTTTTCAAGATAGGTCTTGCTCTGTCACCTAGGATGGAGTACAGTAATGCAATCATAGCTCACTGCAGGCTTGAACTCCTGACCTCAAGTGATCCTCCCACTGTAGCCTCCCAAATAGCTGGGAGTACAGGCCTGTTCCACCACATTTGGCTAATTTTTTTTTCTTTTTTCTTTTCTTTTTTTTTTTTTTTAAGATGGGGTCTTCTGTGTTGCCCGTGCTGGTCTTGAACTCCTGGCCTCAAATGATCCTCCTGCCTCAGCCTCCCAATTAGGTGGGATTACAGGCATGAGCCACCATCCTGGCTATAAGATGTTTTAATAGTCATATCATTAATAGGGAGCTGGAGTACAGGGGAAAGCAGTGCATTAAAGAGGAGACATGGATACAATCTGGGAGGGAGGGTACAATAACAAAGAATGCTGTTAATCAGGATCAAGGGGGCCCAGCATGCCTCTCACTTTCTATACAGGGTGAGAGGAAAGTTCCTTACAGAGACAACATGCATGACAGTGTTTGGATTATTCCTACTGCTCCTCTCAGTACCGGAAGATAACCCAGCCTGCACCATATAATATCAAGATGAGGGCCTACTACGTTTGCCCTACACTAAAATGACCTCTTAAGTCACCTTTTGTGTTTGGTCTTCAGAGAAATCTGCTAGAGTTGATTTTAAATTATTTTACTTTTTTTTTTTTTTCTGAGACAGTCTCACTCTCTTGCCATGGCGTCAGCCTCACTCACAGCAACCTCAAACTCCTGGTCTCAGGTGATCCTTGTGCCTCAGCCTCTCAGGTAGCTGGGACTTCAGGCACGCACCACCGTGCCCAGCTAATATTTTTTCTATTTTTAGTTTTTTTGGCAAATTTCTTTCTATTTATAGTAGAGATGGGGGTCTCACTCTTGCTCAGGCTGGTCTCGAACTCCTTAGCTCAAGCAGTCCTCCCGCCTCAGCCTCCCAGAGTGCTAGGACTACAGGCGTGAAGCCACCACGCCCGGCTGATTTTAAATTATTTTAAACTGTATACATTTGTAATCAGAATTATGTTAAATTGTTTCCCCTGTAGATAAGGCATTCTTGATATCCTTTATAACCCTAGTATCTTTTCCTAATAAGTCAGATAAATGTCAGTTTCATTTCTAGAAAGTGTGAACATGGTGTTTTTTCCCCTTGCTTCAGGTTAATTTTGTGGGTATTTCAGAAACCCAAAGCATTTCAGTTTTTTGTTTGTTTGTTTCAGAGACAGGGTCTCACTCTGTTGCCCAAGATAAAGTGCAGGGCATGATTATAGCTCACTGCAACTTCACGCTCCTGGCTCGAGCAATCCTCCTGAGTCAGCATCCTAAGCCTCCCAAGTAGCTGGTACCATAGGCACACACCACCATGCCCAGCTAATTTTTCTATTTTTTGTAGAGACGGGGTCTTACTCTTACTCAGGCTGGTCTCAAACTCCTGAGCTCAAGAGATCCTCTTGCCTCAGCCTCCCAGAGTGCTAGGATTACAGGCATGAGCCACTGGCCTAGCCCCATTTCAGTTACTTTTCTTTCTGTAGTTACTTAATTGAAACAGATACATAAAGCAGATTAAATGTAGAAAGTATTGCTTTCACGTTGAACAAAAAAAAATTACTAAAACAGATATTTAAGTTTTTAGAAGCTGATTTTTGATATTTTTTCTTTTAACAAATTAGTCTGACTTGAATTAAAAGTACTGTACCTATTTTAAATTCTTAATACACAGGAGAGGAAAACAATGTCTTCTGGCTAAATCCTGTGGTTATATCTCATTGCCAGTTCGTTAATTGCACTCATCATCCTCTTGTGTCTGGATTACTGACACAGTTTCTTTTCTTTTCTTTTTTTTTTTGAGGCAGAGTCTCACTGTGTTGCCTGGGCTAGAGAGCTGTGGCGTCAGCCTAGCTCACAGCAACCTCAAACTCCTGGGCTCCAGTGATCCTGCTGCCTCAGCCTCCTGAGTAGCTGGGACAACAGGCATGTGCCACCATGCCCAGCTAATTTTTTTACATATATATTTTTAGTTGGCCAATTAATTTCTTTCTGTTTTTAGTAGAGACAGGGTCTCGCTCTTGCTCAGGCTGGTTTCGAACTCCTGACCTCGAGCAATCCGCCCGCCTCGGCCTCCCAGATTGCTAGGATTACAGGCGTGAGCCACTGTGCCCGGCCCTGACACAGTTTCTAATTCCTTCCCTTGTCTTTCTCCTGTAGTCCATCATGCACATGTTTTTGGCTCTGTTGGCATCATGCCATTTTCCCTAACCCTCTCTGTCTGTGGTGGCTCTCAAATGCCTACATAAAAGACTAGATTATTCAGCTGAGTCTTAGTATCCTCTGTAGTTGACTATATAACCTGCATTTCCAATTCAGTTGCTCAGCACAACTCAGTATGCATAATGCTCCCTGAGTAGGCCATTGTCTTCTTTCAGTCCATACCAGTTTCTGCTTGTGGGCTTGCCTGATGCCTCACCCTGTGCCCTGCTCACCACCAAGCCAGTCCCTACACATTCTTCAAGAGGACTGGAGTCCTCTTTCTTTTTTTTTTTTTTTTTCGTTTTTATAGAAATAGGGTCTCACTCTGTCACCCAGGCTGGAGTGCAGTGACCTGGATCATAGCTCACTGAAACCTAGAACTCCTGGGCCCAAGCAATCCTCTCGCCTCAGCCTCCCCGGTAGGTGGGAGTACAGATGCACAGTACGCCAGGCTAATTTTTAAATTTTCTAATTTTTATGGAGATGGGTGACTTGCTATGTTGTTCAGCCTCGTCTTGAACTCCTGGGCTCAAGCCATCCTTCTGCCTCTGCTTCCCAGACAGTGCTCAGGTTACAGGCATGAGCCATCGTGCCCAGCTGGAGTCCTTTTTCCTCCAGGCTTTCTTGAAGACTCAGCAACTACTCCAAACGTTTCTCCCTCATCTCCTCAGATTTTCTTTTCTCTACCACTCAGTGAAGCACTTAAATGTTTTCTAGATGTTCTGTGGCTCTTTAACTAGACTGTAAGCTCCATGAGAGCAAGGACCAGTCAGGCTTTAGAACCTTTAGAACCTTATGGGATCTAGCACTGTGCTGGGCACATCAGAGGCCCTTCAGTAAATATTTGTGTATAAATCGATACACATGTAATGTATCAGAACCGCCTTATTTTTAAAGCTGTATTAAGCACTGATTTGTTAGAAAATGGCTTGGAGATAAGGCAGAGTTTTACTCTATTTAAAGGAGTGTGCAAAATTTTTCCATGAATATCATTGCCTCAAATTCCAATCCAGGTTGTAGTCTCTGTTTTTTGATAATAAGGAAATCTAACATAGAGAGTTAACCTTGTGTCCTTCCACCTAAAAGTCATTGGACTTTTCTTGGTCTCCATTTATACATGCCAGACTTTAGTATGACAGGCTTTGTCTAAGTGCCTTGCACATTATAGGTGTTCAGTACATATGTGCTTAAACTTCCTTTCTTTAAGAAAAAGAAATCTAACATTCTTGATTTATTTAACATATCATGGTTTAGATCTTGGGAGATGGAAATCATATACAAAAGAGAAAGTTTTTGCTGCCTAATTTACATTGGCTAAACCTTTGATTCTATTGCCATTAGGTGTTTTTGTTTGGTACTTTGTTTCTTAAGCTAAAAGAAGTTAATATTATCCCTTCTTGGTCTGTTCTCATCAGACCATCTGTGGCTTCTCCCTGCCTCTTGGGTCACTCCAACCCCACTTGAGTGGCAACTCTACTTCTGCCCCAGCTGACTAATCCTCTGTAGGCCAATATACTAAGATTGAGCACCTACCTCAATTGTGTTGTCATGAGGATAAAATGTATACCTGGCACAGACTAAGTGTTCTATGAATGCTGTCTACTGTCATTACTATCCATCCTCTTTTGGAACTTAACCAGTACCATCTGGAGTCAGGAACCTGCCTTACTAACCCTTTATTTCACTAACAGATCTCAAGGTTCAGCATTCCAGAGCCAGTAGCCTGATCGATATATGTTAGCTCAAGGAGTTTTCTTTACCTTGTTACTAAGAAGGGCTCTTTCATTCAAAAGGAAGGAAGCTAAGATTT